GGTGGAGGTAGAGCGTGCACTTTTCTAAGTAAATTAAGACAGTTTTTCATTCATAAACGAAATTATACTAGCACATTTTCCTTAATCTAGCATATTCAACAGCGATCCGTGCGACCCAGAAGTATTCCTTTTCGCGTATGCGCAAATGAGCTACACTACGGATCGGGTTCTATAACAGATTGGGGAATAACAAGGAGAGACAGCCCATGTCACGTCAAGGGGCCTTCCTTCCATTTTTCTTAGAGGCATGCTGCTCACCCCCTCACTATCCATCCTTCGGTTCAAACTCTTTTATACTGCCATCTGGTGGTCAAAAAAGGTACTACACTCTGTCAAATTTAAGAAGAAATGTTTGATAATTTGTTTTGTTACTAATTATTGTCAAATTTCCAACAATATTATCGTTTATCGCAATAATTTCTGAAATAATTAATCGCCCAGCAAAATTTGTTATCGCGACAGGCCAAATAATGAACATGATCTCTTGCTGAAAGGTTGGAAGCAGCTTTGGCTATTTCCCAAAGGAACTTGTTGCAGTAAACCACCGTTATACTGACAAAGAAGTTGAAGTCCCTGCAGAGGTATGAGACACTGATACTTTCATTCAACTTTTGATGGTTATCTATCCGTTCAATCCTGGATTGAAGCTTTCCAAACATGACACCACTAGTGAATATAACTGCCACAAATATATTTGTAATTTCCTTTATTTTTGTCTCATTCTTAGGAAACAGATTTTGTCTGTTTCGAAACTGGATTTGACAAGTTTGACACTTACGACGTAGATCAGCTTTTAGGCTCATCAGCGGAGAAGGAGAATGATAATCCTAACACGCAAACGTCTGTCCAAATCCAAGAGGCAGAGAGCACACGGGCTGAATCACAGCCATCAGTAGAGGAAGGGACTGAGAGTGACGAACAAATCAAGCATCTTGATAAAGTTCCAGAAGACCAAAGTGCCTCTTTACTTAAACTTGAACTAAACGCATCAACTGAATCACCGTTAGTAAAGGATTTCGAGTCTGATGTGCAAGTTGTGCCTGAAGTTACCGAAGTAAAAAAAGTTGAGTCTGCTTTGGAAAATGTGTCAGAAAGAAGTGAAACCAAAGATGGATCTGCTACAGCTGAAGTGGAATCTTTGCCCAAAGGAGAGTTTTTTATCAAACAAGTGTCCGTTTCAGTGGCGGAGCAGGTCCCCAAGTTAAAAACGTCCCTCGGAGCAACGTTTGACGCCGTCGTCACTGACGAAGAAACCACCACGAAAGTCACTCCACGTGTAGAGGACGTGGAAGAGGAGGCAGATCGTGAAGATGTCGCAGAAAATAAAGAGGAAATTCCACGGCTGCTTTTTTCTGAAGAAACCCCGGGTGCTTCAGCGTTGGATTCACTCGTAAAGCAAGAAAGCCCTCCATCAGTTCAGGACGAGGAGCCACATACAGCAGAGGATAAAAACCTGTGGACAAAAGTGTTTTCAGTTGTGACGGGAAGTGAGACCACAGCAGAAGATGTGAGTTCAGAAGAAGACGACGACGATGACGAAGAGGCAGAAACACAAGAGAATTTAGGAAAATCAGAGAAAGATCCACGTTTATCAGAATCTCAAAACGACCCAGAGAACATAACAGATCCCCAAGATGACCCTCATCCCAACACTGTGGAGCAAAATATTCAAGAAACTAAAAATGATGAAAACCCCCTGCGTGATGGTAAAGATAAGGGCGTTGCAGAAGTTATCAGACACGAGGAAGCTTTCTATGAAACGGCAAAACCAACCGATGAGCCGATACACCATCAAATAGACGAAAGTGTCGAAGCTGTTCCTAAAGATTATCACGCTAGCCCCCCTCAGGATGATAAATCTGATAATGAAACACATGAAACCAATGAGGACAGAAGTGAAGAGTCCACCGATGCAGAGTTTATCAAGAATGATGGTGATATGGAGGACAGTGATGTTTTAACAGAGCAGGTTTTAGACATTACCTTTGATGAAAACAAAACTGTGACCGAACAAGATCAGTCCACAGAAAACAAGGAATCTGATGATTCACGTGTTAAATATGTAGAAGATGACAAATCACATGATCATATCCCTGAAAATTTAGTGACGGATGTGGAAAGTAATAGCAGTCGGATGGGATCGCCTGTGGAGGAAGCAAAGGTTCATGAGCTGCCTCAAACAGAGGAAGAGGATGAAAAAGATGCAGAAAATGAAGATCGTAACGGAATAGAAGAAGAGTTACTTGAAGATGAAAATGCACTTTTGTTGTCACAGTCGGACGACATTCACGCTGAGAATCCCTCGCCCGAAACAACCCGGTCCGTTGAATCCGCTCCAGAGCTAGAATACAGCGACAGCATACTGAGACTGACTCTGCTGAGGGAGCACTTCACAGAAGAAAACATGTCGCGGCTGCAGAGGCTTCTCGGCATGAAGAACCTGTACAAAGTCGAGGCCATGTTCTCTGATCTGGACACAGAGCTGCTGGCTATCCGTGTGTCGAACACAGGATCCACGCAGGACATTGAAAATGCACTTGAGAGCATCCTGGAAGTTTCAGAAAACCCCATCCTGGACGAGATTGAGAAGATGCTCGATATGCAGGAGGCAAAACAAGATTACGAGCTTCATGCGAACACAAGCAGTGTGGATGAGGAAACTGAAGTACTTGACGACTTTCAAGAGCTCGCTTTCAGTCTGCGGCAAAAGTACTCGACAGTCAGCGACAGTGCACCTTTAACCACAGAAACATCTTTGGACAGTGTACGAGGTTGGTTTGATTTTTTTATTTTTTATTTGATTATTTTGTGGAACTTAGAGCTGTTGCAAGATTGCTTCATCTGTGATTTGCTGAGTCTGACAGAAATGTATTCAACTGTGATTGATGCAACCCCATCAAAATCAGTCCATGATTTACCGTATTTTCCAGCCTATAAGTCGCATCAGTCCAAAAATGTCTAATAATTTGGAAAAATCCATAAATGCGTTGTTTCGCTGTATAAGTCGCATCTATTACCCGGAAACGTGATCCAGTGTTGTGTCAAAAATAAATTGGCTGCCAAATGGTGGTCGCGGGAGCGTGCACGGGAGGACTTTAACAAGAATTTAACAAGATTAACACTTAAAAACAATTATTTTTTTGCTCAATTATAGAAAAGGTGTGTCTCGGTTTAACTTTTCCTTAATAAATGCACTTTGACGGTCAAATCAGCTGCATTTTCAAAAGCCGATGCATGGAAGTGAGAGCGCACAGCAGGATGACTCGCTGCGCATTTCATCAAAATTTAACAAGCTAACCACCTAAATACAATTATTTGTTAGCTCGACTTTATAATAAAGGTGTGTCTCAGTTGAGCTTTTACTTAATAAATGCGCTTCAATGGTCAAATTAGCTGCATTTCAGCAGGACGGCGCAGCAAAATGAAGCTGATTTGACGGTTGCTCCAGTCGAGCTGGACAAAGGTGAATTTGTATGGCAAGCCGGTTGTGTCATTAATAGCCACTTTTACCTATTACATGACACAACGACATGCCATACTACTCAAGTACCATCTAGTTGCTGAAAATGGTAGTGGTCAATATTTCCCATGTCAGAGTGAGTGAAAACAGTCATATCTCAGACAAAATTTGTTTATAAATATGAGGAAAAAAACATAAATAAGTCGCTTTGTCCTATAAGTTTCAGGGCATGTAAATTAGGCAAAAAGGTACGACTTATAGGCCGAAAAATACGGTACATGGATGGATGCAGCATTTAGTCTTTTGGTGAAGTCGATGAAATGGAATACATAATTTTATAACCAAATTTTTAAATTTCCTGTGATTAATCCCTAAGATTGCATGGAGTTTAACGTACTGTATTTGTTGCACTGCAGATGAACCTCAGTCGAATGTTAAAGAAAACACCTCCCACGTTGTCGAAGAAAAGGATGACAACACACCTGAAACCAGTCGCGACGACAACCTCGCTGTAACGGACCAAGAAGAAGAACCTGAAAAGATTAAAGAGGAACAGGTAGTTCAGGAGGAGGTGACTGGTGGACCTGATGTCAGTGTGGAGGTGACCGGTGGACAGTTTATTCAAAACAAAGACGATCAGCCAAGCTTCACTGGATCAGAAGAGGAGCAACAGCTCCCCGAAGCCACTCTGGAAACTCCTTCAGACATGAGCCTCGAGGCTGAGACTGAACACTCTCTCTCAGGTGTGTCATCTAAACATATTTATTTTAAATTATAACATCTGTGCTGGTTTATATTTTTGTCAGCGTGCTAACCGGACCAACTTCGATAACAAAGCTGCTCCTTGTGGAGATGACTCTAGATTATTAATTCTTGAAATCAGCTAAGGAATAATGTTTTAACTTTGTCCGATCTTTGTTTTCAGGATATGTTTATTTACTATAATAAATTAATGAGATTTAATCAGCTTCTAAAGTACACAGTGTAATCTAGCTAAATTCAAACTTTTCTCCCATAAGACTCTACAAACTCTGTGGAGAGTGGGACTGAAATACACGAGGAAGAAACTGGAGTCTTCGCAACTGGACTGGTTTACATGGGGTGCATTTTCTCACTAATGAAAAATAAAACTGCCGATTGGACCACGGTGGTAAGTCTGAGAATTACATCTTCTGTTCCCATTCTTTAACCGTTGCATACTTTTGGCCGGCTGTGGCTTAGTGGTTAGAGCAGTTTTCCTCCAACAATAGGGTTGGAGGTTCAATTCCATCTGCATGCATTCACATGTTGGAACTAGTGTCCCTGGGCAAAACATTGCTCTCCTCGTTACCCCACGTGTGCCCAGACTGTATGAATGTTATCTAAAGCACGGATTAGTCTCTAAAGAATGATTTAGTCCGATTAGCTTTGTAGAGATAGTGTAGAGTTTTGTATCAATGTGTGTGTGGAGGGTTCAATGCCCTGAGACAACATCTGTTGTGACTTGGCGCTATATAAACAAACTGAATTGAATTTAAATGAGGGCATAGATTGAGTTGTAGAGAGCTTTGAGCAGCCCGGTTAGCTAGAAAGTTGCCATATAAGTACAGTCCATTCCATGTACCATTTACTGACCTTAAATAAATCATTGTCTTTTATTTTATATCTAAACTAGATAGTACTCTTCAGTATTTGTCACTTAAACTGCTTTTTTTTTGTTCCTGTTAGAATAAAATTTAATAAAAATCATTTATTCAGTGTGTCATCTGGAAAACTTGCACTGCAAGGCAGCTGGGTTTTTGTGAGAACTTCAGATCACTATCATTGGAGACTCATTACTCCTTGCAAGGTTTCAGGCAATGCAGCTTTTTTAGAGACAGCAGTTGGGCCCAACCGTTGGCCCCAGGGTCAGCACTTTGTTTGCCTTCTCCTTTTGCTGTTACACAAACTGGCTTGAATTAAAAGTGAGCGGCGAGAGAGACATAAATAGATCTATTAAATGTGGAGGCAAATGTCAGCAAGAGGAAGTATCTTAAAACAAGAATTGCCTGCCTGTCGTCTTTAATTGCTCATTTAATAAATGTGCATAATACATATAAAAAATGTACACCAGCAACTGTTCCCTCGTTTGTTTTCCATGAACCATTGTCAGAATGCTCTACATAAAATGTTATGGTCTTGAGCTCAGAAAGGACATAAGATCTACCTCTTCATTTAGTTTATCCAGTTTGTAAAAAACACAAAATGAGGTAGGTTGTTGGGTGGAGAAGCAGTTTTGTTTTGTTGTTTCCTTAAACTGATGAAGCCTTCTGGATGGAGGGCGAAATGTTTCAGCACAACAAAAGAAACTGAACATTGTTGGACAAAATGAGGAGTTTTTAAGCCGCTTCACAGTTCGTATCAATAGTGTGAACTTTAGCTGTAAGTGTCAAATTTGGTTGTCAGTCTGAAGTGTCATTATTTTAAGCTTTTGGGTAGAAAAAGCATGCAGTCAAGTTGGGCACATTTTCTTAGGGAGACGCGCTGTCATCCACGTTGCTTTAAGGACATTCTGTCAAATTAAAAGACGTACGAGTTAAAGGCTAATAGCGTGATTGCTCAAATATAGTGGCTATTTTATTATTGTCAATATTAGTAAAAAATTATGATTTACAATATTGGCTTTGGTTTCATTTCTGCTGTGCTTCTGCAACAGATTTTGAGTCCAGCATGGTGTTATTTCTTTGAAAGCTTCAACGTATTCCTTGAGATTTTTTCATAAATAAGGAATTTCCGATTTCCTCTGAACGCCTCTCCGCCCGCCCCCTGCCAGTGGACCGTAGCTGTGTAGGGCTGAAGTTCAACGCTACCGGTGCTGAGCTGGCTGTTAGTCTGACAACGGAGGGCCTTATATTGGAAGACAATACTCCTAATACGCCGTCGTATTGCAGACTTTTACCTTTCAGCTCATTGTATCTTTTTAACTTTTTTTAAATTAAACTCCTGGTTATTTATTTTTAGCTCTAAGCTAACGTTTGTTGTGTTAGCGATAGTGACTGACGGCTGACTGCGTTAGCAAGCCGTTGTTGTCGAGTCTTATTTAATTTAGCACCTGCCTCGACTGATTTAACGTTCGCAGTGTTTGTAGGAGCTTAATATTAGTTTTATGGACGTATAATACTTTAAAACCTCGGCCCACCTCAGCTGTGTGGATTACTCTGAAGATAGACCAGCTATAAACAAACGAGCTAACATCTGTCAAATAGTGTTTGTGTTGCGTTCATCTTGTAAACATGGAGAGTGAGACACTATCCAAACCTGCTGTAACGGAACCAGAGCTCCTGTATGTGTTCTTTCTAAAAGAGCTGCAGCATGTAAGTAAATATTTTGTTAAGTTGACCCTCCATGCTCGGTTTTATTAATGCAATGTCCTGCTGATGTGTTGAAAACATGCCAAATAGACTGGTTTGTTGCACATTGTTGTACTTTCTAAACCTGTTGTTTGCAGCAGACACATTTCATCTAGCATCAGATATTATGAGGCCTACTCTTTTTTTTATTCTAATGGCATTATTTGTTTCCTGAGTTTGAGTGCAGTAGTAATATTTTGGACATTTAGACTCGTACAGCCCTGCTTGCTGAAGAGGATGTTGGACTTTACAGGAAGTGGTGAAGTAGCTGTAATACTGCAACCTTATTAGAGTTTGTTTGGTTTTTGAGGGGTGACTTTACGGTTGAACCACTACGCTCGGGTCTGATCCACTGCACGTTTTAAAATAAGAATTTGAAAGCGTTACGCAAATTTGTGTTGTATGTTGAAGTGCTGCAACAAGATACTTTTACACTTTTTTTAAAGGTCTCCGCGTTAATATATGAGCCTACTAATGGAAGCTATGTTGACAGATGTGCTGACGAAGAACGTTTTTGAACCAGTTTTGTGTAGACCTGCCTTTTTATTCTCGTTACGTTGTTCACATTGTATGTTAATGCTCTTAATGAAGCGATAAGACGATGTGACGGTGGTGTGATTGGGGTTAAGGCCTACTTGTGTCGAAAGAGCCTTTGTTAATCAAAGTTGGGTTAATGACTAAACTTTGTGTTAGTTGAAGACAGATGTGTTGTAATGAAAACGTGGTTTGACGTCAACATTTTCAGTGTTGCGTATTATGGTAACTGCTGTCTCTGTTTTATTGTCTGTCTCTATTATTTTGATTTAAACCATAAAGCGAATAACTTGGGGGAGTGGGGGTTATCTTACCGTGTTTTGGTCTTGATTTATTTAATGTAAACTGTGTTTTTGTGCTTCAGATGATTTCCTTGCTGCCAGAGGAGTGGAAGCCAGGGGAAACGCTGTTTGGTTGTCCTTGGCAAGCCGTTGTCATCACTGCTTTGGTTGGAGCGCTGAGCTTCACCCTCTTTTTCTGGAGGACTGTTTTGGCTGTAAGTGTTGTGATATCGCTGCTCTCGTTTCTTTTTAAGTTTCTATTACTGCGAGTTATTTTACATTTTAAATTTGTGTTAAAAAGACATGGTCGGTATTGTTTATGTTGGTCTTGTAAGTTTAATTTGTCCCAGAACTGAACAACATTCAGGTTCAGCCTGACAAAATGAAAAACTAACTTTAATTAACAGTTGAGCTATATTAAATAAAAAGATAGAGTATCTGTAAACTGTCTTCATATTTTAACAAATAAGCGTTTGCTTGTTTTTTATTTTTAGGTTAAGAAGAAGGAATACCTCGGTAAGTTGTATTTTATTTTAATATACCTTGCATTTATTTGCATTTCATTACAAAACAAAACTGTGTAAACCCTCACTAATTTAGTATTTCCTTTTCTTGGGGGATAAAAAAAGTGGATGAAAAAAAACTCCAAGCCCAAATCCAGGCGCTCAGAAAAGAGAAGTCGGATGCTCAAACCAAAGTAGTTGAACTCCAGAAGCAGGTTAGCTACATGATAAATGTGATGTGAAAAAGCTTCTTTAAAATTAAAATAAAACTAACAAACCATTTCCACCCCCAAGACTGAACAGCTGAAAGAAAACCAAAAACAATCAAAAGAGACCGTCAGTTTTAAGATGAAAACCATACAAGACTTGGAGGTAAGCTTGAAGGAAAGGTGTTTTCCTACCAGTTTTCAGTGATTTAAACATTTATGGTTATTTAACTCGTTTATTTTGCAGAGTAAAGTTTCAGAGGCGGAAAAAGTCAATGGACGCGTTTTTGAAGAAAAAAATAAATACGCAAAACTACTGGAAGAAGAACGTGCCATGTCTTTGGAAAATAAAAGCAGGGTGACTGTTTTTATTGTTTGTTTGTTGTGTTTTTGTCTTTTTTTTTTTTTTTTGTTAATACCAAGGCTGATGTTTCTTGACAGCTTGAAAAATTAGAGAAATCAAACGAGAAGTTGCAGCTCGGCAGAAAAAAGGTTCAGGAAGCCCTCGCTAAGGTACGTCCTTTAAACCGTCTTCACGTTGCCATTTTCACTCTCTCAATATACAAGTTCTGCTTTTTTTGTTTTTTTGTTGCAGACTACTGTTCTCCTGGACGAGGCCAAGATTCGTGAAGATGCACGAAACGCCCAACAAAAAAGTCTCCAGAAAGAATTTACCGCCATAAAGGAAGAAAACAAAAACGTAAGAGAGTATGTTGACTGGTTTGAGAATTGCTGACCACGAAAATGCGTTTGGTCAAGATTTCCCAGAGGCTCTCGTCTTGACGGTGGCGTTTCTTACAGCTCAAAGCAGCTATTAAAGGCTGGGAGGCAAAGCACAAGGAGCTGAACGAGAAGATTAAAGTTTATCAGAAGTCCCAGAAGGAGCTGGAGGACTCTGTGGTGCTCAAAGACCACAATCTGGAGGTCAGGCTTTTAACTGGTCCCACATTGTTACTGGGTTGGAAAACGAAACGTTAGCTCACGCCAGGCAACACCTTTCTGTTAGGTGCTGTCTGATCTCCTGGCTGATCTGGATGCATGCGATCTGCAGAAAGGTGAAACCAAAGTTTTAGCAAATGGTGAAGTAGCCACTGGTGAGTTTATTTTTTTTTAATCAGCCAGGATTAAACAACCTGTTCTGTCTTTGTAACAACTCAAGTTTCTGAAAGTCTTGTGTCATCAAACAGATAAGAAGACGGTCATAAAAAGCAGAATCAGGCAGATGATGGACGTGTCCAGGGTAAGAGTTACTCATCTGTGTTTTTGATCATTATTTGTGCCTGTGCTAAATGTTTAAATATGTTGTTTCTATAAAAATATACACGTTTCTATTCTGCATTATTTTTCTCCATACAGATCCAGACGACTCTCACTGTTGTTGAAGAAGAGCGGGATCGCTTCATGGCAAAACTACTGAACGAAGAAAAGTCGAGGAAAGAACTAGAAGGTACGTCGGTCGCTGAGAAGACATTTTACAGACTCGCACAATCTTGACTTTATGATTAATAGTCTAAATGAACGACCGCCTCTCAACTAAACCTTTGGGACTTTATTGTGCCCCAGAAAAACATCAGGAGCTGGAACACGCGATCGGAGTCCTAAAGAGCGATAAGAGCCAGGTCGAGAACCAATTCAAGGTCCTCCAGCAGAAAAATGAAATCATGGTTGAAATGTATCAGCAGAAGGAGAACGCTCTGCAGCAGTGAGTGAAACCAGGAACCACCATTCTCTACTCTTACACCATGTTGACACTATGTTCATGTCTGAGAGTAAACTAGACTTTGCTGTCACGTTTATAGACAGTAGTTTATCTTGTGTTCAAGACACCCCTGCGATAGGTAAAAATCTGCAAAGTAGAAACGCTATATATATATTTTTTTTAAACACTTTAAGTTAAATTGATATAGATTTCTGAGTTGAAACATACCAAAATAGTTCACTCAACTACCGTATTTTTCTAACTAAGTCGCACTTAAAATCCTTTAATTTTCTCAAAAATCCACAGTGAGCCTTATAATCAGGTGCGCCTTATGTATTAACTCTGGTTGTGCTTAACCTCGAACTGATTTTATATAATTATTGTGAATGAGTTGAATATAGTTTGAATTATCTGTTTTGTTTCGCTTAATGTGCCATATAGTCCGTAAAATACGAATAATTATTTTATTTTATGAATAATAAATTTAAATCAACTAAACTAAAGCAAGAGTTTATTTAGCAAGAGTTTGTTAATCAAGATAACTTGATGTTTATTCGTTCAACTTGAAATTTGAAGTTGAGTGAGTAGTGTACAGTTCTGCTTCGGGTGGCCGGCACAGGACCGGAGGTGGTCCAATTGAGTCTAAGTCTGGATGAAAAAAGTCCCGATGGAATCCAGAATCAGCCCCGGACCTTCGGCGGAGCGCCCCGCTCGGAGGTCCTCGTGGACCGGCTGCCAGCTCTCAGATTCACCGATGAGTCTGTGGGTCCGGTTCAGTGGGTTCCATGCGGCTCTCTGCATCCGCTGGGCGCCAATGTCACCGTAATAAGCACCAGACTTTTTCAGATCTGATCAATACTTTCCTTCGTATTTCAGCAGAAGGAAACGCGTCTTCTGGGCAGGGCATTGTTGGCTTCTGGGAAATGTAGTCGTTATGAGCGGGGATACAGCGTAGGCTTATTGAGAGAAAACTACAAAATGGCACCTGTCCAAAGTATTTTATTTTTCGTTAACTTTTTACTGTGCAGTATCCAGTTCCGTCCCAATCACTTAAGTAATATTAAAGTTGACAGTCGTGTCGTGTACAGTTTTTTTTCCATCGTGTACAATCTTACTTTGAAATACTGCGAATGTCGAACCACGAAGTAGCGAGGGACTACTGTAATAAGTTTTTACTCCGACTCTTGGCTAACTCCTAGTCAAGCATCTTCCAGATACAGTTGTGTGTTCTTGGAGGAATAAAGTTCTTGTTTCTTGATGGAGTGTGTTTTTATTGCGTTGCAGGAGGTTAACAAAAGAGGAGCTGGAGCGACGCAGTAAAGAGAATCTGCTGTCTGAAGTTGGAGGTAAAGCCCTCGAAGCGGAGGAGCAGGTGAAAATCTTACGGCAGCGCATCAACGAGATGGAGGAGCAGATGGCGAAGACTGAAGACGTCTACAAAGAGCAGGTGGAGTCGCGTTAAAACGATTTATTAAAATAAAATCCAGAGCATTCGATGTGACTTTCTGCTTCTGTTGTTTTTAGATAAAAGAGCAGGAAAACAAAACTCATTCCAACTGGGTACGTTTCACAGGATCCATTCACATTTAGCAGCGCGCTGTAAAAACACGGTGCGCGCGCTCACTTTCCGTGCCGTTCGCAGGTTAACGCTCGTAACGCAGAGCGGGCGCTGAGTCAAGAAAAGCTTGAATCATCAAAGCTGCGCGAAAAGTGAGTCTTGTCTTTAAAAAAGTATTTAAAAACGCTCCTGTTCAAAAATATCTTTTTCTTTTAAACGTCGCAAACAGAACTATATTTTTAGCGTTTCGACATTTCTCTTTTCAGACTGGTTGTGATCACCTCCCAGCTTAATGAGCGCCGCGCTCCTCTGTTCAGGCCCAACTCTGGTCAGCCTGCAGGTCCTCGCCAAGGTAAGGCCACACGGACGCCTCCTGTTGGTGCCCTTCATTTTAAACCGAAAACTTTGATCCTGCAGAAGATGCTTTTTTAAAATTCCTTCCAGTATTGATAAAAGGAGCGCACTGTGCTGGATTCTCTGGAGCCCGCGGACCTCTTTTTTTGTTTTATTGCCAGCCGTATCTTTGCTTTTGATAAATGGTTTTATTGCAACAGGTGATTCATACGGGCCCTCTCCTGTGAGTGGAGGTGCTCCATCCCCTCCTATAATGATCGAGGGTCCCAGGCGCCCTCCTTCTGCCCCAGTTGGGCGAAGAAATGACCCGTATGGTGAGTCCACGTGGATCTCCTCACCTCCTTCAGTTTGTACCAAAGCTGGACATCGTCTCTTCTCTACATCCGTGTCTTGAAATTATTTTTTCCACACCTGACTTCTTTTTTTTTTTTTTTTCAGCTCTCTCCCCTTGTTATTTAACTTTTATTTATTTTTTTGTGTGTAAAGCACCTATGACTTACTTCTTCTTCCTTCCTTTTTTTATTTTTATTTCCGTTTAACCATCAGAAAAATAACCTTTTCTTTTGTTATTGCTGTACCATTTACTGTGTTTTCCAGCGTATAAGTCACATCAGTCCAAAAAAAAAAAAAAAAAAACGCATCACGAAGAGTAAAAAAACATATAAAAGTCACTTAAGCGTATAAGTCGCGTTTATTACGCGCCACCGCTGACCCCGGGAAACGTTGGGCAAGTGTCGTGGCAAAAATCGATTGGCTGCCACGGGAGGACTCGCTGTTGCAGTTTTTTGAAATTGAACAAGATTAACACTTAAAAACAATTGTTTGCTCGACATTATAACAAAGGTGTTTCAGTTTAACTATTTCCTTAATAAATTCACTTTAATGGTCAATATTTGGCGAGGGGGGTCGCAGTACAGGAACATATACCCTACCGGTAGTTGTCAAAAGCCTAGAGGGCCCTCTCGCACCTCTAGCGGCTGCAAATGGTAATGTTTACATTTAAAGCGTTAGTCAAAAATAGCACTATGAATATGGAAAAAACAACATAATTTGCAGGACTGGCAAATCTATGCAAAAGATTTCGACTTATACACTGGAAAATCCGGTATGTTTTGAAAGCTCCAAAATGTACTTTTTCACTGTTTAAAAGCAGAATTTAGTCAATAATTTATTTTGTTAGTTGAATTTATTTTTTTTAAAACCTTTTGTGATATTTTTCATTTTTATCTTGTAAAATTGTTTCCAGGAAACATAATTATTGGTCCTTGGGGTCCGTAGTCATCCATTATTTATTATTTTCTCAGGTCCTCGTCCTCCATCTGATCCACATGGTTGTTACCCAGAAAACAAACACGTCCCTGGGATGGGTATGTTTTTTTTAAAAGTTTCTGTGTTTCCTGCAGTCCAGACTACTTTTAACACCTTCCTCCTCTTCCAGACATGATGGGACCTCGTAGCTCGTCTCCAGCCAACCTGGATGGAACCGTAAGTCATTTATGCTCCAAACGTGATCGTTTAAATTCAACGCATCCCTTCCATTTGTAGAGCGGGAGCTTCGACTTACATGTCAGTATGTCCTTGCTCTGAAACAGACCCAAGCAGTAGAGGCACAGATAAAAGCAGAAACTCAGGCTGTGGTTTCCACAGAGAGTCCAGAGCCAGTGAGTATGTGAAGGTCACGTCCAGGTGTGAAGGTGTATGAAAAGCACTCTAACTGCACTTGGATACTGAAGGAGTTTAAAGTTTTGATTAATTGGGGATGAGTTTGTTTGTTTTGGCTGAGTTTGTGGTTTCACTTATGGCTAACCGAAGCTGAAATGCATCTTGGTTGTAGTTTTGGTTTTAAAAGTAACTCTGTGTCAAAGGTCAAGTTCTTCATAACGTGGTCTGATTTTTCACCCAAATCAACGCTGTGGTTACTGGTCGTGTGATTCAGCTCTGGTTTAACCCACTTCTTGTTTGGGAGTAAATGGTGCGGTTCATGGGTTTCTTCACTGCATGACTTAACATCTCAGTCCATCTGACCACGCAACGTTTGGGTCTGACCCTGACAGATTTATCTTTCTCGCGTTGCTTTAAGGGACCTGGATCCTTCCTGGTGTCACCAATCAGAGACTCGCCCAGCTCCATGGCCCAAGGACCTCCACCGGGCCCTGGACCCCACGACCCACTACTTCCTCCTGGACCCGGTGTGCGTCTGCCGCCACCCGGACCTTACAGATTGCTACGACCTGGTCCATACCAGCTCCCACCTGGTCCTCTTCCTCCAAATGTACCTCCTCCCTATCGCGGTCCCCCTCTGCCAGCCAATGGTATGCTCCCTCCTGGACCCATGGGAGGAGAGTTTGGACCTCGACCTGCCAATGGACTTGTATTCCACCCCAGACCAGGTCCCGGACCTCTAATTGATCCTCGAGGTCCTCCACCACCACACTTCCGTCCTCCTCCACCTCATAGTTTTGGACCCATTCCACCACCCGGTATGTTTAGTCCGAACAGGTTTAAATGTTCCTTGTATCAGTAGCAGCAGATTATTTCTTTAAACCTGTTCGTGTTGTGGATTTCATCCTTTTAGGTGTCCATGGGCCTGTGGGACCTCGACCACCTGTCCCTCCTGATATGCGCTTCCCAAGACCTCGAGACCACATCACCCCACCGATGGACCTACCTCCAGGTGTCCGACCCCTTCCTGGCGACGCATATGGTCAGGCTGCACCCAGTGCCATCCAGAACTCAGCGGGCCCTCAGAGCGGCCCTGGTCAGGACCTGCACATGAGGCAGGAGCCCCCTCAGGACTCAGTGAGGCCACCACTGGTCAAGCCTTAACACCACCACCAGCTACGGCAAAGGAATTAACCACATGTTCACCTCTAGACTAATAGGATAACCCCGATCACGTCCAAAAACAGGTCATGATTTTCATTTTTCTGTTATTATTATTTAATTGCAATATTAAAAAAGAAAACAAGGTCTTTAAAGAATCATTGATCAGTGTCTCTGAGAAGCCGATTGTGCAATAACACTTCAGATGTTTAATCTTTTAAAAAATATATAAAATTCCTTTTTTTAAATGTTTTCTGTGGAAATCATTTTTTAGCATCAGGGTTTAAGTTTTAGCATTTCAAGATTTCCACTTGTTTCAAAACGAGCGTACAGGAAATGTGTAATTTGAAGGGCAGATGTATAAGTTATTTTACTACGTTGATAGAACTTTTCATAATAAAGGATGTAAACGTGTCACTTATCGACTGCAGGATGTGCTTTATATTCTCTGACCAGGGCTTGAAAGAGATGAAAACTTCAGATAAATTATGGAGTATTATTTAAACACGAACTGGAGGTTGGATAAACAAACTTTTTCAACAGTTTTCAGTAACTTTGAAAAAACAGTTTGACCTGATTTCTGTTTTTCAACAGTTCACGAGGATAAAAATGTTCATTTACTCAAACTATGATGTAAACTATGTTTTCAAACCTCGTCGTAGTGAAACAGACCTGCCTCGCTCTGCCCGCACTTCCATGTTCTAGTGAATTTCAGGTTTACTGGTTTTTCAGCCTTCGTGTCACGTCAGGGTTTCACTCAGCTGTGAGGAGTCGGAACAGGTTGTAAAGCAGATCAATAAACCCAAGATTTAATTTGTCTGCTCAATAATTGATGCATAGTTAAAGAATATTTAAACCTCACTGTGTGATTGTTTGAATCATTCACACTTTTATGATCCATTTTTCAGCATCTTTCTCGTTCCACAATTTTTGTGCTATTTCAACAAGTCAAATATCAAAATGTTCAGCTTGTTCAGAATGGTGCTATGACTTTAGCTTTTTGAAATATTTCGCCTTCACTGCCAATTTTTCCCTCAGAAAATGAACTGAGCTCATTTTGCATCCTTCAAATCTTCAGATCTGTTTACAACCTTTTACTGCTCCTTTCACATTTTCTTCAGCTTCCTTGTGCAAATTTTAACTTTTCAGCTAATTTCAGCTGTTTAGAATATTTCTGTTAACTGCAAAATTTGTGTGCTAACTTTCTGCTAATTTCAGCTTATGCTCCTTTCAGCGTATTTTTGCATATTTCAGCTTTTTATGCTAATTTTAGCCTTTTCAGCCACTTTTTTTTTTTTTTGCACTCGTTTCAACCTTTTTCAGTCCAATTCAGCAACAATGTGCTCTCTTCACTTCTGGTAATTTAAGCTTCCTTCAGCTTTTTGTAGCTACATTTCAGCCTTTTTTTTTTTATTTCAGCTTTTTAAAGATAATTTCCACTTATTGTGCTCATTTCTGCTTCTTTCAGTCTAACTGGTCAAACATGTTCTTTCTGCTCGCTTCTGCTAATTTAAGCTTGTTCTACCTTATTTTAGCATTTTTAAGCTAATTTCAGCTGTTTTCAGATACATTTGAGTTCATGGTAAATTTAGCTTCTTTCAGCCTATTTAACTTCTTGGTTAATTTCAGCTAGTTTCAGCTTTTTCTGCTATTTCAGCTGCTATTTAGCTGTTTTTATGCTAATTTTAAAAAAAAATCAGCTTATTTCAGCTCTTTCCGCTTCTGGTAGTTTTTGTTTCTGAATTTACAGCCTTTTTTTTAAGCTAATTTCCTAATTTTTGTGCTAATTTTGTACTTAAACCTAATTCAGCAGGCTTGTTCTTCCATTTCAGCTACACTTCAGCACGTTTCTTTAGCTAATTTCAGCTGTTTTTCAACAAGTTCTTAACACTGCATTTTCACAGGAAATGCAATTTCTCTTTTTAATTGTTTTAAATCATTAATCCTGGTTAGTTAGGATGAAAGTGGTAAATGCTGTATGGCACTTGGCTCTCTACCCTTTGCATCAATAAGGTTCAAATGATAAACGGCACATAATGCAGAACTAAAAGCAGAAATGCACCAACTGCTACATCAAATGTTTAAAGTACATGAAAGACAAAATGGACTTAGTTGGAGTTTATTAGAAATCAAACGTTTGAGTCGTCTCAGTCACAAGAAGTAAAAACAAGATGTCTCGGTTTGACACTGAATTAAATCTTTACTGGTAATTCATCAGTGTCTCTTCAAGGGTTTTTCAGATTTTTGATGTTACAAAAATAAAATCTAAAAGTTCACTTCATGACATAAAAAAAAAAAAAATCATATTCTGAACATTTACCAGTAAAGAAAAACCCATTCAGATAAAAACACGACGCAAAGTAAAGTAACACCAAACTTCAGAGAGAAGTCTCTGAAGCACCCAACACTGATTTTCTGCTTGTTTTACCGTCCATGAAGCTTTTATAATGTGGACAGGAATTTAAAATCACTAATACTGATATACAAGGACACAATTCATCACAGGGCAATTTTTATAAACGTTTAAAAACTTGGATTTCTGTTCCAGTATTCTAATCATCGAGGCTGGATATATTTATTTTGTCTTCACTAATTATGCTTTTTTGTGCCTGTGGTGATTTGAAAAATAAAGAGAGCTCTCCATCTGAAATGACAATATTTAAATTTACCTTTAGAGGTGACAAAGCAGAGTTCATTTTCCCTAGAATTAAATAAGATTGGTTTATAAATTAAAACCATAAGATAAAAAAAGCTATTGATGTTGAACAATAAAAACAAAAGGAATATAGGATGTGCAAACGGAGTGAACAGAAGCTACATGTGTGGACTTTTCACCAGTTCCAGTTAAAATGTTAGTGTGAGGCAGTAGGTTAAAACATTTGGCAAACTTCATGGTTTTATCATTTTATGTTCATATACTACAATAAAAATCCTCCCAATGGCACACAGCCTCTAAACATTTGGAGTTTAGTCTTGTTGCTGTAACTCTTTAACTCCCCAGCCTTCGTTGAAAACAATGCAGCACCTATTATTATCCACCTGACAAGGGTTTCTTAACTTTATATCTTACTCTTCCTTCAACTTTAATTTGGCCCGAACCACAACGTGCACCCCCACAAGTTATATCAAAACGACCGGCTCAGCACCGTGATGTTACTTTTCTTGACATTTTGAGTTACCATGGCAACATAATTTACAAAGAGCCCATTTTTTTTAGTAATATAATCTGGTTGCAAATCAAATATCCAAGATGGACACCTGAGCTAAAAAGGAAAAATACTGTGAATCAGACGTTTTTAAGAGATATTGAGCTGAAATTTGGTGTAGTAGCTGAGAGCAATGCCCACTGAATAATTAATTAAAACAAATTAAAGATGGCCACCAAAGCTACATTTAAATGGCGTTAACTCTATTATTACACATTTGGTGTGCTTATATATGAGAACTTTCTCCATCACATACTCAAGTCAAAAATCCAAGATGGCCACCATAGATTAAAAGAACAAATGACTCATGGATATTTTGCCGTTTTGAGCTGGAATTTGATATGGTGGTAGTTGAGTGAACCCGAACACATCGTACTGTCAAATCAAAATTTAAAAAAGGCCGCCACATGGCAGTCCCCATCAAAGTTTCTCCAGAAACTTTCTAGTTGCTTTATTTCAATTCGACTCGGATAACTCGAACAGGAATCTCCTTCATTTGGAACCAGAGTGCAAACACAAAAACTGAATGTTTCACAATAGATTAGATGTTTTCCAAAGTGACGCTGGGATTAAGAAGTTAATGTTTTGCTTTTTCTCCTCATTTAAAAGTTCAGAGTCCAGTGCCACAAACACAACAAACTTGGGGGGGGGGGGGGGGGAATCCTCCCGAACATGTGTCATCTACACGTGGAAGACTAAACATGAGGTGGTTTCAAACTGATTTACCGTGCTACCGCTTTAAAAAATAAAAATAAAGTGTTCAGATTTTTGAGTTTCAGCTGAAACCAAAAGCATTTAAATATAAAACCTTTGAGTGAGCTGATGTGACAAACATCTGGGTCAGTTTGTGTATTTTCTTCATAAATCCCACAGCCTTGATTTGGTATTACTGGATGATGATGAGGAGGAGGCTTCATGGGATTAAGAGAGGCGACTCGAGTTTAGCTGTCTTTGTGTAGCGTCTGATGGAGGTGGAGATAAAGTGGTTTCTTTGTGAGAAGCTGCAGTTTCTTCCTCTTGAAGTCAGTCGGCTTCTTGTACCTGAAATCCAAGGAGGAACCAGATTTTACTTTGCGGCACCGCAGGAAACGTTACCTCGATTAAAACACACTCACAGTTCTATTACGATCGGCCCGGGTTTGATCTCGTCCATTTCCATGAAGGCGAAACATTTTGTGCTGGTGAACCTCTTTTTGGGCTTGTAGTGCTTAAATTCAAAGAAGATCGCTGCTCCTGGAAGAATCAACAACATAAGGATATCAAAAGGAGGGCAAACGAAGAAAACCGTTGCGAGGATGGTTTAAAACAAAGTTATGAACAATTAGTATCTTACCTGTTGTAGATGGCTCTTTGAACAACCTCACTTGGGAGAAATTTAAGTTGAATTCTGACTGAATTGATGAGCTAAAGGCTAGTCCGAGCTCTGGACTGAAAACATACATTCCTGCCATCTTTAAAAAACTCCACGCTCTAAATTCTCATGCTAACTTATGAAAACATTTTATAAACATTTAAATTTGTGTCGATGTTGCACAGTTAAACAGTTTCACGTTTGTTTTCTTTACAAACACAAATATTGCTAGCAGCAGCTAGCTGTAGCACTCATGGTGCAGCCCGGGGTTCCTCCTGTGAGAATATCTGCCAGAATAATAAACGAAATGGTAAATTGACAGCCAAGGAATGATTCATAAAATAGTGTTTGCACGAAGCACGATGAAATGATTGAGATTGAAGCCATTTTAAAAAGTAACCCACTTTGGTCTCAATCCTGCTCAGACTAGCTCAGACTAGCCATTAGCTCATTAATTCAGTCATATTTCTCCAAACTAAGGTCAACCATTGAGCTACGTATCTACAACAGGTAAGATATTTGTTCATAAATTTTCCACAGAACTTTGCTTCAAAAGATTCAAGTTAATCCTTAAAGTAAGGTAATATATTTAAAGTTCTTTGAAAACTTTTAGGAACGTGCAACTAAGGTAAACAGAACATTGTTACAGCCGTGAGAGCGGGATTACACGCTGCATTACAAAGGTGCAAAAATCAGCACTTTGGCTCAGTAGAGGTAGATCCAATGTTCTCACCGCTATTTAAGATTTTATTTATATTTATTTATAGATTTTCTATGGGGTTAAGGTCAGGCGAGTTTGCTGGCCAATTAAGAACAGGGATACCATGGTCCTTTAAACCAGGTACTGGTAACTTTGGCACTGTGTGCAGGTGCCAAGTCCTGCTAGAAAACAATCTGCGTCTCCATAAAGCTGGTCAGCAGCAGGAAGTGCTCTAAAACATCCTGGTTGACCTTGGACCACAGAATACATTGTGGACCAACACCAGCAGATGACATTGCACCCAAACCATCACTGATGTGAAAACTTGACACTGGACCTCAAGCAACATGGATTATGTGCCTCTCCTCTCTTCATCCAGACTCTGGGACCTTGGTTTCCAAAGGAAATGCGAAAATTATTTTCATCAGAGAACATAACTTTGGACCACACAGCAGCAGTCCCAGGCGAGATGCTTCTGACGCCGTCGCTTGTTCAAGAGTGGCTTGACACAAGGAATGCGACACCTGAAACCCATGTCTTGCATACGTCTGTGCGTGGTGGTTCTTGAAGCACTGAATCCAGCTGCAGTCCACTTTTTGTGAATCTCCCCCATATTTTGGAATGGGTTTTGTTTCGCAATTCTCTCCAGGGTGAAGTTATCCCTATTGCTTGTACACTTGTTTTCCACCACATCGTTTCTTTCCCTTCACCTCTCTATTAATGTGCTTGGACACAGAGCTCTGTGAACAGCCAGCCTCTTTAGCAATGACCTTTTTTGTCTTGCCCTCCTTGTGTAAGGTGTCAATGGTCGTCTTTTGGACAACTTTCAAGTCAGCAGTTTTCTCCATGATTGTGTAGCCTACAGAACTAGACTGACCATTTAAAGGCCTTTGCAGGTGTTTTGAGTTAATTAGCTGATTAGAGTGTGGCACCAGGTGTCTTCAATATTGAACCTTTTCACAATATTCTAATTTTCGGAGATACTGAATTTGGGGTTTTCATTAGTTGTCAGTTATAATCATCAACATTAAAATCAACATTTGAAATATATTAGTCTGTGTGTAATGAATTAATATAATATACAAGTTTCACTTTTTGAAGGTACTTACTGAAATAAATCAACTTTTTCTTGATATTCTAGTTTTATGACCAGGACCTGTACATAAACTCTGCACCTTCTTGTTCTCCCAGTACGTCTCTATAAAGAAAATAACTTTACTGATCCACAGGGTTCGTTTCCAAAATCGATCAAACCCTTAACGTGTTCTTTTGCACATTTGTGACATTAAAGTTTACAAGAAATCTTAAAGGTTTTTTTTAATGTGCAAATAAACAAAGCTGCAGTTTCTGAAAACTTTCTCATTTGATTCTCCAGAGCTCTGGGCAGCTGTTTAACATCTGTTCATTTTACTTTAGGTGAAGTTCTGAGATCATGTCTGCACGTCACTCTAAATGTACAAAGGTTTTACAGCTGGAACCGTTTTATTTTATTTTTTGTTGGAAGTATGTGAGCTGCACGCTTTAACGCACAGGAAGTCCAACACCTGGTCACGGCGAGGCAGGACCAGGTCGTGTTGGACTCGAGCGACTGCGTTTACCTTTGGGTAATTTCTCTGTGTGTCTCTGAATCTCTACGTCCACACTGAAGTGAACGTAGGTGTCTTCCTTTCTGGTGGCCACAGGAGTGTCCTGTGCTGGGTTCAAATCCACGCCGTTCACATCTGAAGGCAGAACACGCAACGTTTGTTCTCAAGAGTGGAAGAAGACGGATTTTTAAGGTTATTTTTGTAAAACACAGTATGAGAGCAAAGGAGAGGATGTGTAAGTACTCTTTAAAACTGAATCAAATATTAAACAGAAAAAAAAACACATTCTGTGTGAGAGCTGAATGAATATGTTGAAGAATCTGAGGTGGTCAAGTTAAAAGAAAAACACTAGCTAAAGGCTAAATAAAGGTTGAATGAATAAATGGAGCAAATGCTAGTCGAAAGCAAAGTAGAAAAACTAGCTTTAATGAGAAACGGTTAGCTAAAAACTACATCTAGCAAAAAGAAAAGCAGCAAAATACTAGCTTGAAGTTAAAAGATGCAAAAAGCTAGCTATAGACTGAAGTAACGAAGAGCTGGCAAAAATAGGAAAAGGCTAGCTAAAAGCTAAAAACAGCAACAACTTTACTAAAAGTATCAAAATACTGTACAAGTTTTTTAAAAAAGCTATCTAAAAGTTACAAATTGTGAAAGGCTGGCAATAAGCTGAAGTATTGAAGTTAGCCAAAAGTAACAAAGGCTAGGTAAAAGCTATAAGCAGAAGAATGGCAGCTAAACACTAAAATTGCAAAATGCTAACTAAAAAAACTGAAAAAATGTGTACCTAGAGCTAAAAGTAGCAAAAGACTATCTACAAATTACAAAAAGCTAGCTAAAAGCTAATCAAGCCTAGCAAAAGACTAGCTAGGTGCAAAAGGCTGGCTTGAAGCGACAAGAGGCAGAACAGTAGCTAGAAGTAGCAGAAAGCTAACTAGAAGCTAAATGCTGCTAAATCAGCATTCACACAACAATAAGTAAACGTTAGTCTAGAGCGCTGCAGCAGCCGTTTAAAAACAGGTTCTGTACCTTTGACGCTGATGGTGACGTAAGGATCGATGCACTGGCCGGCATCCTTCAACCCAATTTTTTCAATCTTTATTGTAAGTAGTGTCATCCCAGGTTCTGAAGGTAACCGTGGCAACAAGGTCCCTGTAAAAGGACAGAAGTTACACGTCAGCGATGGAGTCTTCATTGAATAAGGGCAGCCAACTCGTTTTTTTGTTGGTTTTCTACATCAGCTGATTGGATTCGAACTGATTGGCCTCTCTTTTATTAACGGAGCCACGTTTGATTTATTTCAGCTGTTTAATTCCTCATGAAATCCATCGTACCCACAGCACTGATTCCTAGCCACATTTAAAAACCAACTTCGAAACTCTTTAGGAAACAGTTAGCTATACAATGCTAGCAGCTAACAAGATGTGGGATTAAATATTTACATATCTTGATTCTAGGTAACTTTAAAATTATTTTTTTGTCTTCCTACATTGACTGGCAGCTTGACCACTAACCACATTTAAAATTATAGACTGTTCTGATCCAGCGACAGATTCTGTGATTCTAATATGCATCAAAACTTCTTTTAAAAGTTTTGCTAAGAATATTTTAAAACATAAATAACAGAAATTGCAGTTTAAAAAAACGAGCACCGGATTAAAAATAAGTTTGAAAAGGTTTTTAGGATAAAATCTTCAAACAAAGCTGACAAGTTAAACCTGCGAGCAGACACAACGTTGACTTTCTTGATAAAACTGTAAAACATCAAATTTGGACTCAGTCAAGAAAAACAATTAACCCAGACAAACACTTTTAGACAAGTTTTCTCCGTGTTTGTGTCGTAGGTTCTGATAATAAACAACATGAAAAAAGGATCAAATCAGATGCTGTGTGCAGAAAACTCTGTACCTTGAGAAGCTGAGAATGAAGCAGGCAGAGGTGAGCGATGAAGCCATGCAGAGCACCGACAGAGAGAACAAAACCGGTCAAACACACAACAACGTGACAAAACACATGAGATGGAGCAGCCACCGAACGGTTCAGAGTACCAGGAGCTCTCGGTGGGAACGCTTCGGCTGAGCCGGCTCCTGCCGCAGCATCCTCCTCTTCCTCCAGCTCAAGGTTCTCCTCCTCACCCGGAGCGAGGATTTTCCTGACGGAGAGGAAAGATCAGTTTGTCTAAAGATGAACAACAAAAGGTCAGACCGATCTTCACCTGCTTCATTAACAGCTCAAGCAGAAAGTGTTCATATGTTTTAAATCAGATGTGGCCAACTTAAGGTCCGAGGACCAAAAGTTGGCCTTGGACAATCTCCATCAGCCCCTCAACATCCTGAGTTTAACGACTTTTATAATAAAAGACTGATAAAAAAAATTAAGCAATTTATCAACGACATTTAAGGAAATTTAAATTAAACATCTTACGTAAAACTTTTTAAAAACATTTTTTAAGTCATCGTGTTTCCAGAACTAGACTGAATCTTAAAGACTTAGACACACAAACAAAAGTTTGTTTTGCATATTTCTGCTAAAGTGCATAACATGTTAAGCTAACATGCGTAATGTGTTAAGCTAACGTGCATAACTTGTTAAGCTAACGTGCATAACTTGTTAAGCTATTGTGCATAATGTGTAACGCTAACATTAATAACTTGTTAAGCTAACGTGCGCAACTTGTTAAACTAACTTGCATAACATGTTATGCTAACGTGCATAACATGTAACGTGCATAACATGTTAAGCTAACGTGCGTAACATGTTATGCTAACATTAACTTGTTAAGCTAACGTGTATAACTTGTTAAACTAATGTGCATAACATGTTAAGCTAACGTGCATTACGTGTTACGCTAACATTAATAACTTAAGCTAACGTACCCAACTTGTTAAACTAACTTGCGTAACATGTTATGCTAACATTAATAACTTGTTAAGCTAACGTGCATAACATGTTAAGCTAACGTGCATAACATGTAATGTGCATAACATGTTATGCTAACATTCATAACTTGTTAAGCTAACGTGCGCAACTTGTTAAACTAACTTGCGTAACATGTTATGCTAACATGCATAACATGT